ATGAGACAATGCTGGAGAGAAAAACCTTACGAGAGGCCATCATTTGCCCAAATACTCGTATCACTGAACAGAATGTTGGAAGAAAGAAAGGTAAAAGATGATCATGGTTGTCAGGTTGGGGTCAAAAAAGTATTACCAGCTCACGAGTTTGCTTGGTTGCACCTGTAAATCGTTCCCCTCTGGTCAGCTCCTGTCCCATGTGAAAACTTTGCACGTGTTTGTTTGGCCATATTCACATATGATTCTTCACATAAAATGCGATGAGTTATTTGGGTGTACAGTCGTACCTTGGTTGTTGAATGCCTTGCGAATCAAAACATTTTGGCTCCCGAACGCCGCAAGCCAAGGTGAGTGTTCTGGTTTGCGAACGTTTTTTGGAACCCAAATGTCTGAAGTGGCTTCCAATTGAGTGCAGGAAGCTCCTGCAGCCAATCGGAAGCTGCGCCTTGGTTTTCGGATTCCATTCAAAAACCAAAGTATGAATGTACCTAGGAGTTGTTGTACATCACCAGGTTCTAAAGGAGACTTTTGTCAGGTGGTCTAACCACTGGTCTGCAGCTAATACGTTATGTCCTGACATAGGAGGGTCTGATCAGCAGGAGCTTCAACAGTATCTTTTTAAAATAGGTTTGTTTTTTAAGAGAAAGAGAAAGCATTAACTAGGGCTAGGATACATCTCACCCGACAATTGGTTGTTGTAGTCCACGATCAGGGTTGATGCAAGTTGTTAACCAAACAACAGCTGAAGGTCCTGCAGTTCTGGCATAAACTGGTAGCCTAAAACTGTATTCGAGTCCTGTGACCAGTGCAACTCTTTGTGACGTATTAGGGATAAAAGGACACGATTTGGGCTTGGGAGCTGGATGTTATCTGCAACAGAGAAAATTTCTATGTGCTGCTGAGGGCAAAGAGAAAATATTGAGCCTATTCTTCTTAATTGTAATTCCAGACTTATGTGAATACAACCCTGTATGAGAAGTTTACCTATGCAGGCATTGACTGTTCTGCGGAAGAAGCTGCTTGAGATGGAAAATCTTCAGTTATTTATCGTTTTGAGCAACCTCAAAGGAAGATGAAATGTGCTGATGTACAAAACTGCATAGAACGCTTTCTGTACAATACCTTCTTAGCTATATACACACTTTTTGAGTGAGTCCTGAATCAGTATGCTGTAGGAATGTGTATGTATGTGTGTACATAGGTATGTTTGTGTGTTTATGTGTATTGTGTGCATGTGCACTATATATATCTATATAAATCTTTTGTCTGCCTATACATGCACTCACACACACGAACACTTTTTGGAAAGTGACTGAAATAAATACATTTTACATTTCATAGACTGTTGTGTATTTCCCCCCTATAATGTTGGAATTTACTGCAAGCAATATAGTTACACTGCATACTTAAACCTCCGCCAATCCTGTGAGCCACTGCAATCAAAACACAAAACACGGTAGGAATGTAAAGGAGACAGTGATTTGTCATTTATATTTGTGTTGTAGTACACGGTGTTCTTTCTGCACCATATTCTCAAATATTGTATATTTGCTGATTTTATTATCAAATTTATATCATGTCCCTCCTCCTGAAGGAGTCCAGCGTGGCACACACATGAATAAGAAAAAAACCATTTAAACTTCTAAAAACAGTTTACAACTGCTTTAAAAGAATCATAGGTTATTTCAGGATTGGCCTTTACCAGACTTTTTAGCCATATGGGCTGAACAGGAATGTTTTTAGATTCTTCCTAAATGTTAGTGAGAGACTTGCTCCAATCCAGCTTGGATGATCCAGTGTTGCTCTCCTAGGCTCATTGGACTAGCTAGCTAAATATTTTAAGTAGTGCTGTATGCTCATCTCAAGCTGATATATACAACTGAGAACTGGAACATGGACTTGACAGAAATTTCAGTAATGGACAGCCTTTGACTCTTTATTTAAAAATAAAAATTTTCACTGCTGCCTTTAATCTCTAATTGCAATTTAACCTACTTTGTTCCATAAGATTAACAAATAGATCAAAGCCATGAAGCAGTGACAGTGACAAATTGCTTACCTATGGCCACCTATGCAACTGCTAGAGAGATCTGCTAACCAAATGAATGGACTGCATAATGTTTAACATTTGTTTTATTTATATCAGCTTTTTTGAGTTTTTATTTCAGCAGACAGTGACAGCCAGAAAACAACTTTTTTGCTTAGGACACACAGAAGTTTCATAAAAGGAAAATAAGTATAGGAGTCTTCATAAAAAGAAAGCAAGTACAGTATTCTTTCCAAACTGCCAAAATTGGGAAATGTTCGCTGTTTACATTAACAATTCTGACTAGCACAAAGCTCCCATAATCAACTCTAATATTATATTGAACAAAAATATCATAACCCTGAATAACATTAACATTAACCCAAACTTCCAGCAAAACTAACTAGTGCATATACTTATACTCTTTTGAATTAGGACAATAACAGGGGCAGAAAACTGTCTTTCACTAGGCAATGATGAAGAAAGGCTGCTGTTGCAAAGCATTAATATCTTCTGCCTTTAGTATCCTCTTTTACTTTCCAAAGCATAAGTTCCATACAAGCAGTTGCATCTTCACTACAGTCATGACCACCAACTAGAAAAAAATAACATTCATGAATATGCATAATATTTAAAAGATTAGAAAGTTGGTACTGAATATTTAACATTAATGGTTGTAGTAATAAACTCAAGTATTTGCATTTGTTTCCAAAATTACCCTCTTAAAAGAGCAAGTTTGGAAATTATCTTGAAGATAATGAATCACTAAGGCAGTCTGTACACTATCTCCTCAAAGCACATTCTTTCCCTCAAAAGAATTCTGGGCACTAGTTTGCTCCTTGGAGCTGTAATTCTGGGATTACTGTAATTCTGCACTAAAGTACAGTGTCCATAATTCTTTGAGGGAAAGAATGTGCAGCCAGATGGGTAGGATATAAATAATAAAATTATGGTTATTTCAAATGCGTACACAGCCTAAGTGTATTGAGGGTGGATAATAGTATAGAAAAAATGTCACAGTGTCACAGGAGAAACTTGAATAGGTTTCAAGGTTTCAGATTTCAGTCACACTACAATATGATCTAGATCTGTCACAGAATAGGACCTATACTCAACTAGATCAAAAGCTGCCAACTGGCAGCTGATACTGCTGGCACTTGAAGCAATCAGACACCTTTCACTCCAAAGTATTAGTTTTGTAAGGAAAAGCAGAGGAAAGTTTACAGATGCAAGAAACAGGTAGTACACATTTTATTGCTACATCACTTTTGGATTTTTAAAAATAAGCATTTGTATGCAAGGCTATGGCCGAACGTACGTGTTCCATAACAGTAGATCATTCACTATTTAGAACTTCATGTGTGATTGGAGCTCGTCAGATAATAAGAATTTGTTTGTGCAGCAAAATACACTTCAGGGCCTAATACTGAAAAATAGCATAGCCTGTAAAACAAGCACTAGATAGGCTTTGAATAGCTTCTCTGGGGCTCCAAAAGGGGCAACTCAGAAGGTACAGATAGCCTTTGGCCCTCCCAATGTTGTGAGACTCACTCCCATCATTCGTCATGCTGATTGAGCTAAAGAGAGTTGTAGTACAACAGCATCTGGAGGGCCACAAGTTCCCCACTCCAGCTCTGAATCCTGAAGAAAGGCTTTTGAACTCCTGATGACTCCAGCATTACATCGTAATGGAGCAACTGTATGCATTAGTTTTCTGTAACTGTAACCCCACGAGACTTAAAAAGACAACATGCATTATGTATTGGTGAATAACTCAATTCAAGAACATGTATCAATCATACAAAATAGACCCAATGTTTGGAGACCATCTATTTAGAACAGGTGAAGATGCTTTAATAGCATGACAGCGCTGCAGGTGAGCACAGATTTATACAAACTAGACATGAAACCACTAATACTATTGCAATTTTAGCAGTGTAGCTCTTGAAAATGATGAGAGGATTGAAAGCTGTCTTCTGAGTGATATTTGTTCTAACAGTACATATTCTCTGTGCATTCTTCCACTTTCTAGCTCAACTTACGAATCCTACAAGAAGTTTATGTGTAATCCCATACCTCTGTAGTCTTAATTTACATTTAAGATCTTAAAATCACCGAGGAAACCAGCTAACTTACCCTCTGCTACGGCATGCCTCTGGCCAAGTTTTAAATGTGTAGTATCTGTGTGATTAGTTTTAATGATACCTGGGGAAGGCACATGCCACTAGTTTCTTGAATTAAGGAAAAGAGGACAGCTTGTGAATCTCTTCTAATACACAGCCCATACTATTTAATTCTTGTGAACTTACAGCTGATTCTTAGATACACATGCTCATAACTTAAAAGAAGTAACTGAGATATGATTAGCATATGTGAATAGGCACCAGAGACCTGACACCACAGGGAGAACTTTCATGTCATTCAATATCACCTCAGAGACAGTTATTTTCAATCCAGTCAGTTCACACACTCAGCTTCCAGTGATCAAACAAGGCACATGACTAATCCAATCCTTATTTTGGGAAACCTGGATCGAACTGGAAAGTCTGAGTGACAACATAGGTATTGCTTGCTTCTTGGTTCTTCTCCATTAACTGTAAAATACACTGTCATTTTCGCCAGGTCTTACCATTATCTTGAATAATTCTTTGGAGATAATCAGCCATTAGATTTCTAAGTGCTCTTTTATGAGGCAGGCCTAAACGATGAGGAAAAACTACGGATGTATCCACAATCTTATTATGAAACAGCTGGAAAAGAAACAAAGCTGGATGATTCAGTGACACTTCAAACTGGATTGTGTCTTGCCTCCTAAAATATTCTTGTGGTTAAAAAACACACTATCGCTTCAGTTAAAGCTTTAAGACCCTGATGTTGGGAAAGATTGAGGGCACAAGGAGAAGGGGATGACAGAGGACGAGATAGTTGGATAGTGTTCTCGAAGCTACCAGCATGAGTTTGACCAAACTGCGGGAGGCAGTGGAAAGACAGGAGTGCCTGGCGTGCTCTGGTCCGTGGGGCCACGAAGAGTCGGACACGACTAAACAACAACAACAAAAACCATATCACATTAACTTTTTCACATAGGGGCCTCTGAGCCACAGCAATGCCACTGGGAAGTGGTGAAAAGCCTGCAGCTACCTTGTGCCACTATTGCCATGTCTCTCCAGTAGCATAGCATCCAATGGCTGGGAAGCCCTGGCCATTCTGAGGGCGAGAGGGCAAGGTACTCTCACAAGGGTTTGGATTTTGGCCCAACATGGCATTTGGGAACTAGATTTGGGGGAAGGTTATAAAAGGCCTCATACTACGCATCCTAGACTCTTTCCTGGCTAGCAAGCTACACAACCCATCCTCCCATTCTCTGTAACATGTTTACCATAGCAGTTATTTCTCAGAGCATAGTTAAACTATAGAATTTGCTGCAGCAATATACCGTGATGGTGACTAGCTTTGCTTATTTTAAAAAATTAGTCAAATTCATCAAGTATACAGCCACCCATCAATGGCTATTATTCATGATGACTATATGCCTGCATGTCACCTCTAGGACTAGAGGCTTATGAATATCAGTTGCTGGGGAACAACAATTGGTCAATTTCAGGATATACACCTAGTGCCAAAACCTGCTGAAATCTGTAATCAATAAAGTTATGGCTTCTTTAAATTCCAATACTCCTATCCTGTTTTATTGCAATTCATGTTAGATCTATCCCTCACCCACACCACACCAGTGAACCTGGACCCATAAAGGAGAGAGTTGTCCTCATGTTCCCAGAGGCAGTGGGTTAATCACTGTGGGAAACAGAATGCTGCGCTAGATGGTATAAATCCAGCAGGACACTTCTGTGTGCAGTATTAGACAGGACACAGAAGTTAAACCTGAACAGGTTTTAAGCAAAACATTTCAAATCATTATAAATATATTATCATTCTGTATAATATACCTTAAGAGCAAACAAATCACTCTCTAAACTATGTCCAATTAAAATTGTGTCTGCACTAAACAAGTTTAACAATATTGCCTGCACGTCCCGAATTGATGTTACAGTATTCTTCATGTCTTCTGCCGTCACTCCAGAAAACCTAAAGCAAATCAGAGTGTCAAGGGAAGTAAAACAATAGGGAGACATGAGTACTTTAGAAATACCAGATTCACTTATCCCACAACTGATACAACTGAAGAATTTTTATTTTCCTTTTGGAATGAAAAATTTAGGGAAGGAATCAGACCATGACAAAGTAATAACATCATCTGTCTATTATTTGTCTCAATCCTATTCTCTGCTGGTATTTTGCACATATTTTACCTACACTTAATTATTACTTATAAAATTCAATTAAAAATAACAATAAGTAACTTAACTCCAGAGCCCTGATGCACTTCTTATAGAAATGCTACAGCAAAAAGCAGTGATGCTATACAAGTAGCCCATGGGTTATACATCACTGACAGCATTCACATGCAATGCTAATCAAAAATCCTGTCTTAATGAGCCAAGTTATGCACAAGGACAGGCTCCTTCTCCCTTTTATGCACGCAGCTGATAAAAGTTGGATTTAAGCACTTAAATAATAGCTTATCATTTACACGTGAAGATTAGAATTAAAATTTGTAGCTTCAAAACAAGTGAAGATATTAAGCCAAACACAGCTTCATAACCTAGTAGATTTGAAGCCATTTGCCATTACACTTGGGAAGCTACGCTTTAAGGTATGCTTAATAACTTGGGTTGATTAGAAACAATTAATTATACCTGGGTTCACATGATTAAGCATTAAAACCTGGCTTGTTCAGCTGCTCACACAAAGGGAGGAGTGAAGCAAATGCAAAGGAGCCCTATTGCACTCACATGTAGCTCATGCAGAGCCTGACCTATTCTCAGGATTTCTGGTTTTCTGTTGAGTGTAAACACAGTTACTTATCTTCAAACACTTGATGTTTTGGTGTTTGAATAAGACACATACCTATTATTAAAATCTATTATTTCATTATCAGGCTTAACAAACGTGTCATAGATGACATGAAGTGAAGGATCAACTACTGTCACTCTGGAGAGTTCCAATCCACGTGTTGTGTAACACTAGAAGAGAAATGTGTTAAATAGAATTTTCCACAATTAAGTTTAGTTCCTGATTATGTTCTGAATAAACTGAAATGAAAACTAATGTAATTTTGAAATGGTGGAGATAGGTGAACACATCTTTGCTACTTTGTAAACATATTTTTTACACTGAAAATCATGGCAGTGCATGTATATACTAGTATATACTAGAAACTTTAAAATATAAAAGTAACATTTTTCTCTGGGAAATTCCTAGAAATTCCTGTCAGCTTTTATGATAAACCATGTTTTCACTTCATCAGTTACCTCTTAGTAAGCTACTTGATTACCCAAAAGATTATACTGTTAATTTACAATGGAAGTTCTACGTCAAGTTTTATAAGTAATTTCTTACACTGAAATAAAAATACACATGTAGCTGCATGTAAAAATGTGTACTTGTTTTTGCTAAATGGTCCTATATTTCCTATACATCCTGCACTTTCTATATCTAGAGAAGGAATGAACAAAAACAAAAACCCACTAATATCCAACTCCCAGAGAAGTATATTGCCAGCATTACATATTTTAATTTCAAAATATTTTAAAAGTTTTTAACCCATGCTTCATCATGTAGCAACACCAGGGTTAGATACAATCAGAATAAAAACCACGAAAATAATTTCCAATTACAATTCAGGAGAGCAACAAAAGCAGGTGCATTTTATGGGGCAGTTTTTCCTTCTCATGTCAGTCTGTCCTGTCTGATCTACATTTCTCAACTGAAGAGAGTAACATCCAGTGCCTTTTTTCAGCTGGAACTCAGTTCCAGTACCTCTCAGGAGGGCACCATTGCCATTCTAAGAGAATAAGGAAGGCATTCAGGGTGAGTTCCGGCACCTCTTTTTCTAGAAAAATAGCACAGGTAACATCTGTCCTTAAGTTATACTGCTAGGAAAACACAATTGCACTTTAAATTGCATTTTTTAAAGGATCCTAACTTAGCATACCATTTCACAATCTAACGCAAATACACCATGATTTCCATCAAGTGGAGGTGGTTTGATGAAAGTCTTCACAAAGCCATCTATATTTTCTTTTCTGCCATCATGAACATGGAGCTACAAAGCACCAAGGAATATTCAAATTAGTCTGAGAAGTGACATATTTTCAGTAACTTTTAATTAAGTTACCATACCATTTCCAACTTCCCTTTTCTGGAAATTCACCTTAGAAATTTACTAAGTATCTTTTGGAAGTTTATACGCTATTTTGTCAGGCACTTGATTATTGGTTGATGTTAAACAATATGAAGTTGAAATCCTCAGCGTTCATTATCTGTTTTTTAAATTTTAAATGCTACTTCTTCATGCATTTCAAATGTTCATTTCCCCCACACAGTAACCAAGATGAGGGAGGCAAAAAAATTAAATAGAAGACCACAATCTAAACCTTAATACAGAAAGCAAAACAATTACAGCATCTGCCACTGGTCCATCAAGATACAGATTGTTTTAATATCAGGACCAAGTCCCAGAAAGTGTAAACTAAAGTGTCCCTTAGCATATTCAATACTAATTTATTACTTATCTGCTTTTCTCTCCCAAATTTAAATTTAAGGAAATGAGGACAGGCTTGAGCCCCAACACTTTTTTAGAACCAGTCCCATCTTGTTTTCTAGCATATTATGCTATCATGAGAACAGAATTCCCAAAAACAAATTAAAAATCTACGCCTATTCTCATCTACCTTTTAAGAACTTCAGAAATGCATACATTTTTGTCTCTCTGCCAAAGACTACACTTACACCAATATTCAGTTCAGGAAACTGCTTCTAGGGCCAAGAAAAAATTCAGAGCACACACTACACCCGGGCAGCCCAACTTTTCATACCAAGTGAGCCACCAGAGTACTTTGACATGGAACCTGCAGGTGGCATACTGCGGGGGTGGGAAACAAGGCCGGCATTTGACACCCACCTCCTTCCCAAAGCTGGGAAAGCACTAACTGGGCTCTGGGAAGCAGGCAGGACGACTCTAGGACCCTGTCAAAGCCTCCTTCCCAAAGCCCAGAGCCTCGCTTACCCAGCTTTGGGAATGCAATGGGAGGGCTGCATCACAGGGTGTGTGTGTCAAATGTTGCCAAGGGCCACACAAAAAAGACATCAAGGGCTCCATGTGGCCCTTGAGCTGCACATTGGACCACCCTGCTCTACACAAAAGAGGGTTGGAGCTTCTTGGAAGGAAACTTGGTCACCTATTTTGCTCTAGTTCTGCTAAGATAACAAGACTAGCAGAACAGCTATAGCTGGAATTCAAGAGGAGATTTTGAAACACTTTGTCTTTCATACTCGACCCCTGTCAATCCCTCTCTATATAGACAGCCAATCAGTGGCTATAGGCAGGTTGCTGCAAGCAAAAGCTAAAACAAAATCCTGAGAAATATATATGCTGTGAAAAGTATGAGTATACACAAAATATCAGGTGCTATAACAATAATTAAACAACAAACCAACAACACCAGAACTGGCTTATGAATATAAAGAACCGTTTTTATTAGAATGAGTATAAAACCTCATAAACCAACAAGACAATGAACAAACTAAAGTGAATAACCAAGCCTGGAGATACTCATAAACATAAAATGTGGCAGTGTCTCTCTCGTTGCTATACTGGTTATGTATGCAATAAGAATGTCTTAGCACATAGTTCACTGAAGACAAAAGGTACTCACAGGCACAGTTACTGAACCGTGTTGAGTGATTAGCATTATGGACTGATGAAGCTTGCTACGAAACCTGGATAATATCCAGAGAACAGGTCTCATCTACTTGGCTTCAATTGATCATTTGGCTTTGCACTTCCAGCTAACGGCTACTTGAAGAACGCTTTCTGGCAACTGCTCCCACATTTGTGGCTTTGTGCTTCCAGTGAATGGCTACAGTGGTACCTCGGGTTACATATGCTTCAGGTTACATACGCTTCAGGTTACAGACTCTGCTAACCCAGAAATAGTACCTCGGGTTAAGAACTTTGCTTCAGGATGAGAACAGAAATTGTGCTCTGGCGGCGCGGCAGCAGCAGGACCCATTAGCTAAAGTGGTGCTTCAGGTTAAGAACAGTTTCAGGTTAAGAACGGACCTTCGGAATGAATTAAGTACTTAACCCGAGGTACCACTGTATTTGTTCCAGCTGTGTTAAGACATTCTTATTGCATACATAACCAGTATAGCAACGCGAGAGACACTGCCACATTTTATGTTTATGAGTATCTCCAGGCTTGGTTATTCACTTTAGTTTGTTCATTGTCTTGTTGGTTTATGAGGTTTTATACTCATTCTAGTAAAATTGTTCTTTATATTCATAAGCCAGTTCTGGTGTTGTTGGTTTGTTGTGAAAAGTTTGAGAACAGCAACTGGAGCGTACTCTCACCTTTGCAACCTGGCATCCAGGAGATCCTACCACTCCTTCGCAACAACTGTAACGTGTTTCCAAACCACCCGGAACTGTTACAGGGTAAGTAATAGGAAGCAGATGAGTAATTTCAAATCAATTCTTATCCTAAAAATTAAAATTTTGATCGACTGTACTGTGAACTATCAGTTATCTTCTTACCCTGACTTGGTTCACACATCACAATCAAATAATTAAAATAAACAATGGTTTAATGTGAACAAACAAGTTGATGCACACTGCTGAAATCGAAAAAATTTTTCCCTTCACTGCTGTCAGGAAACATACCATACTTTGGTTTTGGATCATGGTTTGTTTGGAGAAAGAAACTACAACCCCAGGTTTTGACAACACAACAGTTTGTTTCCTGGCAGCAGTAATACTGAGGGATGTGTAAAGCGCCCATAATTTTAGCAGCATACACCAATACACTTTTCATTCACATTAAACCATAATTTATCTTAAATATGCAAACCAGAACACTATGGGAGCAGCTCTGCTTTAAAAAAAAAATCAGTTTAACAAAACCAAGTTGAATTCTGAGGATCAAATATACATGCATTGAAGAAAGGGATACTGAATTGGATTTCTAACTATCCAAAGAAATTATAGTTTTATTACAAATGTGTGTCAGTTTCTCTCAAGATTGTAGCTATACTGAGAATATGAAACAACAAACTTATCACCCATCATGTATTTTACTAAAGAGCAGGAAAATGGAGGTGAGGTGCTGTACAAAGTCAAGCATAAATAGCTGAATATAATTTATTAGTTTTAACTACACTACATGGGCTCTTTTGGGGGTGGTGACAGTCCTGGCATGCTAAACCACCATTTAGGAAAGTTGGAACAAGCATCAGACCTGGATGTTCCTCCCTCAGATGCCAACTTTGGTTTAATTTAATCACCATCACAGCATCAGTTTTGTTAGATCTGAAATGGGGAACTGTGTTGTGATGTTGGTTTACTAAGCATAATATTAAAATCAATTCCAGTTTAAGATCCTGGCTACTAAAATACTAAGTCACAATTCTCTGTATTGTTATATATTGAAAAAAGCATGAAAAACAATGTGTGACAGAAAGTGGTGAGAAAAACACAGACCCAATGTTTGTTCTTGCTTAAGAATATTACACCACAAATTAGTGCAAAGTCTGTATCTAATGGTAAGTGATTGGAGGCTTAATAAGGAAAAATGCAAGCAAAACTGTTTTTAATCCATTGTTAATCAAAATTTAACTTGCTGGCCCTGCTTCAGTGGACATTACCTTAGTAGTCTCAAACTCACCGGCATGTCCAGTCTATGTCTGGGGAGACAGGAGTCTATTCTTACCTTTATGCCTTAATACCCTACCAGAATGGTAGCTGCATTCTTCTTTCCGAACATGTCTTCCTGATGAAGTTACAGTATATATTTCTCCGCATCGACAACAAATTCTTCTGGAAGCTGTAACCAGTAACACAATCCAGTAGTAAGCCAGAATTGAGACCTGCAAGATGTTCATCTGCACTTACCCCCAGAAACCATTTTAATCACCAGAGACAACTGCAAAAAATCTAATGAATTTGGTTCTCATTCACATTATCAAGCAGCAGAATTGCTACTACTAGCGTAATTACTGATCAAAATAGTAAAGCTTTGGTAGGAGTAATTCAGATATATTCCAATTATGCATGGAACAGATGGATAATCACCCAAACAATATTAATTAAGTTGTTAAATAGATAGTTCAGGAGCAGAAAAAAGGTAGTTATCCTTCAAGCTTTATTAACCAGGATGACTTGATTCACAGTACTGGCAATGAGCGACACTTACAAGCATTTTATTGTAGCACATTGTGGATGAAATCTTACGTTGGAAGGCATTTTTTGAACAATATAGGAAGATTTTTCTGATGAGTGTCAATTTTTCATTCCATTCTCACTTACAGTCAGATAAAGCTGCTTTTATGGCGCCACTGCATAGTATAGCACTGCCAGGTTTCTCAGGATTTGGTTCAGGGAAGCCATTTTCCTTCAACTGTTCATCAGTCAAAGCATATTCTTTTAGAAGTTTATAGAGAGTAATTCCTGTAAAATCTTAATCACCCCAACAAAACAGTTAAAAAACTCTGAAGAGCTGTCATTCAGACATTATAACTGTCAGAATTATTTTCAGATTCAACTTATAGGTAGTCAGTAGCAGCTAGTTTTTCTTTGGTTAAGTTTATATATGCTGTGAAACTTTACAAATTCACCCTAAACATATGCCTTTTGTCATAGCATTTATTAAATTTATATACAACCTTTCATTCAAAGATCTCAGCACAGTTCACAGCATAAAAATACAAAAAAAGAAAAATACATAATAAAAACAAGAATAAAAACATTTTGAAAGCACTGAATTTTTTTCATTACTTTTCATTTTCATTATAAGCAAGTAATCAAAGAGTATTAGAACTAGAAAAAAGTAGCTTTTTATATTATAAGTACTTCAGTTGTGAAAGAATTTTAATACTTTGTGCAAATTTTTCAAAATACAGTAATAGTTTTATTTTACCATTTTTTTCTTCTTTTCTAAAGCCAGTTGAAGTAGTGCATTTATTGTCTGAGGGCTGGCCTATACAAAATAAAATCACAGATGTCTCACATTGTTAATGTGAACTTATTTCTACAAACAAACATTGTATGTAATTTAAATGTACTTAGAAGAGAAATAAAATTGCTTCATTGTAACTACCAGTTTTCCCTTCCCACAGCATTGGAACTTACCATCTGCTGACACACTGCTATGATCCCTCAATTTTTTAAGCTTGTTCACAGCTATGTTCAAGTATATATTTTTACTACCACAACGGTCATATATTGCCTTTTCTTCTATCAATGCCTACATTAAAAAGAAAAGTGTGTATGATATATACTGTAAATTGCACATCTACCCTGTACTCCCCCCCCCGCCCCGCAATGGAACAGAGTATGTAATGGGGAAGAGCATCCAAACAAATAATAATAGTAATAATATGGTGCCCTTCTGACTGGGTTGCCTCAGCCACTCTGAGCTGCTCCCAACAGACTATTAAAAACACAATAAAACACCAAACATTAAAAACTTCCCTAAAGAGGGATGCCTTCGGATGTCCTTTTTAGTGGTTCTGTTTTTATACGTAAGCGACTTTAAGTCCTATCAGGGAAAAAGGTAGGATATAAATAAATATATAATAATATATTATTTATATCCTGCCTTTCCCCCTGATATATATATATAGAGAAAAAGTGGCATTTAAAGTTCAGTGGCCACAACTCAAGAGATCCTTTTCAGTTGCACCAGACAATTTAATGTTTTTATTCCCTCCATCACAAACTGCTTTTAAAGGTCTTCTGGTTTTCATCAGTGGCTTTCTGTGTGGCACTGCTGTGGGTGCTTGCATGCAGTTTGAGAAACAAGTTCAACACTCCGCTAGTGATGTACTGTAAATAGTCCTATAGTTTTGCACCACATTAAGTGTTTAACTGTGATGGTCTCACAACAGATTCAGAGATAAGTATAATCACCATATCCGCTTCAATTTAAATTCAGAATTTATTTTAAATCAGATTCTTTTTTGAAATCAATTATTTTCATTCAAGAAGATTGTGTTAGTTGATTTCCTGTTATCTCCAATTTAGGTTTCTTTTGTTAAATATGCAGCAACAATTTAATAATATATAATGATTCTTAGCCTTTTTATTACTAAGGAATGTTTATTTTTCAAATACTGTTTGGAAATAGGAATATTGATGGGTGACAGATACATTTAGTAAAGTAATTAAATATTAATAATTAACTTTTACTTTTTAGGACAAATCCATAATGAATACAGAAAGTCCCCATCACTTCTGCCCATAAAAAAGGAAGATCTTCTAAATTTGCCCAGTCAGACCAATAGGTTAATAGAAAAGAGTGGAAGCATCTGTAATCAAAGGAATTATTACCAGATTAAACCTTCAGCCATTGGCAATTTTCAAAGGGCTTATTAATATACCATATTGGCCCAAATATAAGCCACACCCGAATATAAGCCGCACCTTTAAAATTGGAGGGAAAAAGAAAAAAATACACAAATATAAGCCACTCCATTCCTCACTGCTCCTGGCTGCATACTGGGAGCAGCGAGGAATGGAGCTGTGTTGCTGGCGGCCTTTCCCCTTCCTCCCCGGCCTTGGGGGAGAGGATGGAGGAATACGCGCTGGGCGGCGCTGCTTTGCCGCGCTCCTGGCTGCATATCGTCAAGTCGCGAATATAAGCCACACTTTTTAAATTTTCACAGTTGGAATTTGGGAGAAACATGAGGCTTATATTCAGGCCAATACGGTACCAGTTAACACTGCAAACTTATGTATGTTCACCTAGAAACAAGTCCCATTATGGTCAAAGGGACTTTCACCCCAGTAAATAGGTTTAGGATTGCAGCCTAAAACTGCAGTACACTGCAGGATTCATTGGGAGCATAAGTCCAACCAAAATTAATGGCATTTACTCTTGAGTATACACACACAGGATCACACTGTATGTTATGTTTGCAACAAAGCACTCAGCACTTATTTCACATATCCACAATTCATATAACTGCCATAAAAAATAAATTACATTGGTTTTTAAAACTACTGCAGACCTTGTCAAAAGCTTCATTGACTGTTGCACAATCTTTCAAGAATTCTTCAAAAAAAAAATTGACATATCGTTGCCTTGTGTCATGTGGTACTTTGGATCCCAGCTCCACAATCACAGGAGGCCTTCTCCGACTTGATGCCTGAAATGTTAACTTATATTTAACTTACTACATGCATGAATTGAAATAACGTTCCTAAACTTATTGAAAGGTATTGTTTTGGGTAAAAGAAAAGGATTCTAAATCACTGAAAAGACTTCTGAACAAATACCTTATTATAGCTACAAACTCTTCTCCCTCAAATCCTATCTCCAAAATTGCAAGAGTATGGCAAAGTCAGAATATTTTTCAACAGCAAACTATCTCTCTAAATATACTGTATTGTGGTGGTTTCTTAACACTTTAAATCCCATTGGCTGCATTCCCTCTTTGCCAGCCCATCAAGGTCAGCAGAGCCAAAAATGAGTCCTGGCCTACTCTCACACACATGCAAACATGGACATGGGCATACACCCACCCACACACCCATTGACCTGGCTCAAATTCGAATGAAATCATAGTTAAAATAAGCACTGTTTACTATTGAGCACACAGGAATGGAGGATTATCCCTACACAGATAAACAACCTACATACCAAAAGTGTTCATACTAGAATTAGGCTTGAACACAGTCTTCAGTTTATGTCAAAGTCTAAACAACACATTGCAGTGAAGAGAAGGGGCTGTAGACTGGATGGGAAAGCCCTATTGGCCACCTTCAACCTACAAACCACCTCTGCTTTGATTTTGAAATTTTAGATTTTAAAATTTAATTGATTTTTATATTTAAAAAATACTATTAGGACATCACCATTTCAATCTAGATTTGTATGGCATGTTATGCACTGGTTTCCCATATGTCCCCCAATAACTTCTTAATAAATTTGACTATAAACCCAGAAGCCTTTTACTCTATTTTAACACAAAGGAAAATATGAAATACCTTAATTGGCTTGGGAGTATTTTTTTTTACAGGATAATTGGAAAGTCTACATGGCACTGATGTTAATGCATTTCCAGGAAGTAGTACATTCACTTGGCCAGTGCTTGTTCCAACAGGCTGAACTTCAAACACATTTAAACAAACTGAAACAGACAAATATTGTGTAGTTTAAAGCTTCATTTGTAAATGCATTTCACATAGCCAAACTATCTTCTTAAACTTTATCTGGAAGCTGAATGATTACAGTAAATGCCAGAGTGACCATTAAGGCAGTCAAATGGGATGAACAGCTTTTGTGTGGTGACCATTCCTTGCCACAGGTATGACAGACAATACGATCACCTGTCATGTGATCACCTGAGCTCCCTGAAGGTTTCCATGCTGCTGGTTGATAATACCAGCCTTCCAACAGCTTGCTGAATATGTGTACCAGCATTTATTTTACATATAACAGCAATTACTGGTACATAAAGCAATATATCCCAAAACCATCCCTTAAAAAAGGTAAAGGGACCCGACAATTAGGTCCAGTCGTGGCCGACTCTGGGGTTGCGGCGCTCATCTCGCTTTATTGGCCGAGGGAGCCGGCGTACAGCTTCCTGGTCATGTGGCCAGCATGACTAAGCCGCTTCTGGCAAACCAGAGCAGCGCACAGAAACGCTGTTTACCTTTCCGCCGGAGCAGTACCTATTTATCTACTTGCACTTTGACGTGCTTTCAAACTGCTAGGTTGGCAGGAGCAGGGACCGAGCAACGGGAGCTCATCCCTTACACATCACTAATTCTATCAGAGACACTAAAGGGAAAAAACAAATCCAGTTCTGCTTTGGAGAAAACAGGTACAGTGGTACCTCGGGTTAAATACTTAATTCGTTCCTGAGGTCTGTTCTTAACCTGAAACTGTTCTTAACCTGAAGCACCACTTTAGCTAATGGGGCCTCCTGCTGCTGCCGCGCCGCCGGAGCCCGATTTCTGTTCTTATCCTGAAGCAAAGTTCTTAACCCAAGGTACTATTTCTGGGTTAGCGGAGTGTGTAACCTGAAGCGTATGTAACCTGAAGCGTATGTAACCCGAGGTACCACTGTTTTGATGAAACCTGATCTGAATCAGAAACCTAGGAACAATCAACTACTCATTCTCTACATACCCTGCTGTTGGTTTCTTGGTCTGGGGGACTGGGAAGCAAATTAAAGCTAAATTTTATGAGATCTTGTTTTAACTCAAACAAACCATCATATGAAACTAAATAAATATCAAAAGTGTAATATACTACTTAGTCATACCTATGGGGCCCATGCTTTGAATCTGAGTAGCTGGTATTACAGATGCAGTTCTCTTTGGGCCGCAAGTTGCAGCAACAAAAGCTTGACCACTTTTAACAGCAGTTGTTATTTGTGTTGCTTGTTGCTGTGCTTTCAGTATTCTGGAATGACAAGTCCGCTGTGGAAGAGGTGCTTTTAAAGGCACAATTATTTCTTTAGTGGTATTAACCTGGTGAGTATTGAAGAATGAACAATATCTAAATTCAGTAAGTGCAATACTGTATTTACTACCCTAAAGTAAAGTTACACTCCAAGACTGTAAAGCAGTATTTCCATCTCTTCATAAAGATAAATGGTCAAACAGTTGGGTCACTATTTCAGTTACTATCAATACCATTCGGTTGAAAGTAGAGCACCTTGTATCAGAAAACGGTTTGTACATTAGCAATTTGGACCTGTTCACCAATGTATCATTTGATATTTTGTCACTTGGCATCTTAGTGTTTGGTGGCTCTTAACTTTAAGATGATATGCAAATTGTATCTACAATCTATTGATGAAACAAACACAAATTAAGTCAACATTTGGAATCGTAGTAAAGAGAGGAAAATGCAGAGATGAAAATGCAACTAAGAACCTGCCTGACAGGTTTAACATGCTTTAACAGACAAAGTGTTAGTACCTCATTTACTCCTACTCACAGTAGACCCAGTGAAATTAATTAAACATGACTAAGTTAATTTCAATAGGTTGACACCACTTATTTGCCATTAACCTATATCCATGTTTACATAATGAAATACTAGCAAATATTTCCCCAAACTGCTAGACTGAAACTCACATCAAATTTTGCAGTGTGTGCAATTCTTCTCTTCTGTCCAGGAAGCATACTTGTCTTCAAATCTGAGTTTACGTCTGTTTGCGCTGCAAGGGCCTGCTTTTTTTAAAGAAAGGAAAATAGCCATACACAAACTGCAAAAACTATCAAGATTGTTGTTTCTAAATTATAACATTACAACAAATTACGGTTTGTTTTCATGATACTGCAGTTCTGTAATGAACTCTGGCTTCCTGAAACTTAAAAAAAGACTTTCAGAGGATGGAAATCCAAAGGCAATCTTTAATATTACAAAAAACCTTCATTTAACAAAAAAGTACTACTTTCCCCCCTAGCTATTAGCTGGAATTTTATCATCTGTTAATTTCAGATTCTCACCAAGTGAATATGCATTGATACACCAAAAAAAAGTGCTGAATGGTCAGAAAAAAGATTGAGGAAGCGAGCCAAAGAGGAAGTCCTCTGGCTCGCTCCTCTGTTTAAAGGGCCCGGCCACGCCCCCCCCCCCGTCAGTGGGTTGGCTGGCCGGGCTCTGACGTGGCTGGGATCCCCCAGGCAACGGGGGACATAGTCCCCCGCCCCCGGTGGGGAGTGGGTGGCCACACGGTCCACCGCAACTCCTCCCCACTGGGAAGTGGAACAGATTTTCAGATTCTCACCAAGTGAATATGCATTGATACACCAAAAAAAAAGTGCTGAATGGTCAGGAAAAAAAATTAAATAGAAAACAATTTGTGTCTGCCTTTACAAGGAGGAAGGTATAAACTGAGAAAAGCAAAAATACCTGCTTTGCTAATCTTTCCTTTTGTGCTTCATGTTCAACAAACTCATTGAAAATTCTCCGACATTCTTCCATAGTATCATCTGATTCAGAAAGTTCATTATCCTCTTCAACGTCATCTTCTTCGGAAGAGTCTAATACTATTATCTCATTTTCTTTGGCATCCATTTTCATAGTTTTATCAGTACAATTTTCACCAGTTTTTTCGACAAATGTATCCCCACTCAAAACTGGAACACAGCTTCGTTTAATAGGCAATGCATTGCTTTTCCCATGTAGCTGAATACTCCATTTCCCAAAAGGTATTGGATCTTTTTTAGAGCTTTCTTGTAGTGCTGTAACTCTATCTTTTGTACTGCCTCTAGAATATAGGTTAGTCTGAGTTTTGTTTTTCAGCAAAGTTTTATGATTACTAACCTCCTCAGTCATATTGCATGCTTTAACAGAAGTAACATTCAGTGACTCCTCCTTCAAAGTTTCTTTGTTCATTTCAAACTTCATCTGAGGAGATACATTATTGCCTTTAGTAGCAGGGTAATATTTTGTCCAAAGTTTGCTTCCTACATTCAAAGCACTCGCTTTGACATCTGCTAAATAAGCACTTTCTGCTGCTGAAATTTTTATTTTACTTTTATTTCCATCACTTTGATTCACACTATGCAGGCCAACAGTGATGACTTCTGATCTTTCTCCCTCTAAATTTTTTAAAATATCTGATGTTCCAGAGTTCTGAACAGTTTCTAAATTAGCTCCAAAACTCATTTCATTTACTTCCCTATTCCACTTTTTATAGGTCTTGCTTATTCTTGGTTTCTTTGATACATTCATTGGTGGGGCATCTATTATAAGCATATCATCATCTGATTCCTGGAGTTTTATTGGTGAAGAACTTACTGATCTCTTCCTTGGGGATCTGAATCTATTTTCACCTGGAAAAGTTTTTATAGATGCTTGTAAATCTCTACAATGAGAGACTTTAAAATGTTTAGAGTGGCATGTGTCATTTTTATCTACTTCCTTCAAAGAAGACCCGAGACCTGCAGAATAATTGAGTAATGGGTCATATTCAAGATCAGTAGCTGGACAGCTATGGTCAAGAATATATTTACTGGACCTTTTAGATTCTTTTGAGATTGAAATGGTATTATTTTTTACTTCTACAGGACTATTACAGGCATCACCTTCATCAGAGAAAGATTTATTTCCTTTGTTGTGATTGGTTGCAAAAATCACATTATTTTTGAAATCTTGCACCCAGTCGTAACAGAATAGTTTCTTCTGCTCTTCAACTTCAGTCTTGAGTGACTGAATTGCTTTGTTGATCATTTCTAATTCTTGGATATTTTTATCAAGACCTGTTGATTAGAAGAAAGTTTTATAAATACCGTAGCCTTAGGTTATACACTAATATTTCAATTATATGTAAACAGAGCATTAAAGAATACAATTACAGAACTTAGCCCAAACTCTTAGTTCTGTCATCAACTATTTTTGAAGGGCACTGGAATACTTTATTGCTTTAAAGCGACACACGATACAAAAACCCAGCACATCTAAACCATGTGCGCTGTTTCTAAGAATTACTCAACAAAGACATTGCGAAGGAGCCAAAGTGAATGCATTTTAGGAGTGCCTAAAGAAACCATATTCCAAATCACCTGAAAAATAATGCCATGGCAACACAGGAACACAGAAATAAGAACTACCGAAAAAAGGTTAAAAGACTGTTAACACAACACCAGGGCCGGATTTAGGTTTGATGAGGCCCTAAGCTACTGAAGGTAATTTTTATGTCCAGCTGTCCTTTGTCAACAACAAATTGTCACTGGTTTTTCGTGTTGAATATATGCTATGGTAATTTATAAGTATCTAAAGCCATTTGCACATGCAGAATGTAGGCACCCTATATACAGAAATGAGCAAACCAGTGATATTTCAGGGAGCCCGCTAGCCCATGACTTACATCATAGGAGCCTACACAACACAAAACACTGCTGCTGTATGTTTTATTTGTTTTTTATCTTATATTTTGGAAATGTACATCCAGTTGTTGTTTTGTCCCTTTAAATTTTTTGGAGTCCTATAAAGCTTGTTTAGCTCACACGTAAATCCGGCACTGCACAACACAGATGCCGGTAATAAAAAAAGGGGCCTATTTTCAGTCTCATTTCTCTGAACGAGGAGACACAAAGCAAGGAATATCGCTTTTTAAAAGCGCGGGCTGGGACGACAAGCCTTGATATTTTATCCGTCTCGTGGGGAAGAGGCTCCAGTTCGGGGGAACTGATGTGGGGAAAAGGCGGGAACGCGCGGTCGGGCGTGAAGGACCCCGGAGGCGTGAAGTAAAACGTGCGTTTAAGGCCCGCCGTCCACACGCGCCAGCGGCTGCTTCCTTCCCTCACCCTGCGCGGAAGAGCCACTCAGCGGCCGCGGCTGAGGGACCGGCGGCTCCCCTTGAAGCCGGCGCCGAAGGGCCTCGTGTCTGTACTGGCAGTGGGGCCGCCGACACCCGCGAGCGTCGAAGGGGCAAGGGAGGCTCCTGAAGAAACCCGCCGAGGGGAGCATCCCGCCTTTTCCCGCCTCCCACCACGCCGCCGGAGAAAAGGCGCGCAACGCTCCCGCGAAGCCGCGGCCACGCGCAAAACCGTTGGAGGGGGCGGGGCGAGGCCACGCGCCGCTGCTACTGAAGCCCCGCCCCTTTTCTTGCTTGCTTGCTGCTGCTCCTCCTCATTCCGCAAAGGCGCCTCCTGATATTTAAATGAGGAGAAAAACGACAGCCCCACCCACTTTCGGGGCGTGGCTTTTGCAACGGTCCCCCGAGAGCGGTTAAGGCACGTTGCTTCTGATTAAGCCTGCCTGAGGTAGCGGGGGCCCCCCGCGCATGCGCCCTACTGGGTTTATTCTGGCTGGGCGTTTCTGCCAAGGGTCTCGGTTCCTTGTTTTTGGTGCTGTGTTGTTCTATATAGCTTGGGAATTGTGGTTGGCTAGAGGTGCTGGGAGTTGTAGTTTGCTTTCGTTCTGGGTAATGTCAGGGCAGGCCTCTTTGGTCAGTGAAAAATAAAGGACATGAGACCCCCCCTAAATACATAGTGTGGGGTAATCTGCCTTGTATAGCTAACGTGCTTCTATCTAATTAATGCATGGAGGAGTTAACACCATAGAATAAGCTGTCCTGCCAGGCTTACCTGTGCAAAACATGGCTTCCCCCCAAAAAATCCTGGTAAGTAGCATGTTTAGGGTGCTGAGAGTTTTTAGGAAATCCTATTTCCCTCACAGAGCCACAATTCCCAGAGTTCGATGGGAAGAGAGATTGTTAAACCCCTCAGAATTCTTTGGGGAAACTATGTTTAAGGTGGTAGAATACTGTGTTTCATTATGCATATTAAAGTTCATTTGCTCAATGTGTGTGGTTGAAGTGGGTCTAAGGTTTTGCTGTTGATTAGTTGATTGCCCCCCCCCCCCTGTGTTTGCTTATGTCTGTGTTGAGCAGGTGAATTTATAGAGAATTACATGGAGGACTTGTAATTGCACAGGTATGTGCAACATGTGGTAAGAAACATGCAGTGGAATTTGGTTGCAGCATTACATTGTGTGTTTTATGCCATCCATTTGGATGGGTATGCACTTGTGGCCTTATTGTTGCTGGGAGTAGTAACCTGAGCTGGCTCCAAGGAACAACTGGAACCTTAAAGTGCTCCTGATTGTTCTCTGGCAAGGGAAGCTTGCTGGCCATGCTTCTTGTAACTGCTGATCAGCCAACTGGCGGTGACAGCTAGCCTGCAGCGACCATCTGCATTATGGCATTCCCCTAAGGGAACTCTATCACAGCCGATCCCAGCAGGCTTCCTGTAAGCGCTGAACATTTTGGATGTTATTTCAGTGGACGATCAGAACCACACAGAGGGTTTCTCGCTTGCTGCATACCCAGCCTCCTTGCTTTTAATCACATCCTTTTTTACTGGCATGTCAGAAAAAGCTTCAGTAGTTAATTTTTTGTAGGTTAGGTCAGTGTTTCCCAACCTTTTTTGGGCAAAGGCACACTTGTTTCATGAAAAAAATCTCGAGGCACACCACCATTACAGCCCCGTGACGTCAGCGCGCAGCATCACGCCGGGAGGGACGCACGAAAGTGTAAGTTTCAATTCCCCCCCCCTTGCCTTCCTTCTGTGCCAACCGCCAAAAAGCCAAGAAAAAAGCCAAGACTTTAGGGCAGCAGGTCGACACGGAAGAAGCTCCTACCTAAGGACAGGTGCGACGGCCGTGTCCTCTTCTGCCACACTTGGCAGCCCTGCCTCACGGTCGTGACTCCCACCCTGATTTCTCCCCGCAGGTCGAGCGGCACAGGCAGCCCAATGTGTCCAGCCCAGACACAAGCCCCGCTTCCCCACTCTAGATCCTGAATGCGACCAAGTGCTCTGGACTCCCGAGCAGGGTGGGAAAGAGGACTCGCATCTGGTAGCCTCTGGGCTCCTCGCCTGCTCGAGGGATGGCATTGCAGGCAAGCTGCCGGCCGTCGCCATCGCCACCCCCTCATGCGAGTGGACCTGCCCGGAGTGGTGGGCCGGGGGAGGCTCGCTCTCTGTGGGGATGTGGCCCGCACACGCGGCCCCGCTTCCTCCTGCCCAGGGCTGAGCTCCTTACCCGCGATCTCGATCTCGCGCACGCGGATCCCACTTATTCCGAAGCTCGCGCCACTAGCCGGGGCTCTCACACCGTGCCAGGGCAAGGCGGCGCGGCCCACTGACGTCATCGCGGCCCGCCGCCGCCCTCGACTTCCCTGTTCCCTCCCCTCCCTCGGGTCGCCGTGGTTACTGAGGACTGCAAGCTGCTCGGGTGAGCGTGGGGCATTAAGTGGGAGAAGGAAAATTAAAATTAAAACTCGCCTGAAGGCCGCCTCTCCGGATATCTTTCGAATTTTTTAATTTTTCCCTCGGCACACCAGGCAACGTGTGCCGCGGAACACCGGTTGGGAAACACTGGGTTAGGTTGCTGAACAAGCCCAGTAGAAAAGTTATGAACTCCACATAGGGGAGACCCAATACTAATGCTGTCTTTCAGGAAAGAATGCCTTGCTGATTACATAAATTTCAGGATGCATGGAAAGAGGTTTCCTATAGCTCCATACCGTATTACTCCCAAACCCCACAGAAACCTGTTTTATTCCCAGGATCAGTTAACACCAGCAAGGGGACCTAGCTGTCTGTCCTCACCACCATATTTAGTGACTTCTGCATTAGTCTGGCTGAAAATAGCCATCAAGTCTACATCTTAATGTAGGGGAGACGAGAGTTCATTCATATAGTTGATTTATTGTACAGAAAATTTATTCATGTAACGTAACCTTATGTGGCTTTTGCCGTGGCTAGTGATTCAAAGCTTTATTTATTTTCCCACATCATAATATGAAACTATTCCAATGTCTCTTGGGAGTATGTACTTTCTTACACCACTTTTTTCTCACTAAGCTCAGCTATCAATACCGTTCCAGCACGCCTTCAGACCCCTGTAGTCCCAACTTCCTTGTTGGTTTTCTCCTCACTTCAGAATCTCAGTATTTCTCTTTCTCTGAATTTTGTACGGAGCAGCCAACTGTGAAGGTAGTAATCCAGATTTCTTTCCTTCTTTTTCAAGAATCATCGTCAACATCAGGATTTAACCTTGTGGTGGTGGTGGTGGCGGCGGCGGTGCTGGTGGTGCTTCTGGGCCACTAGGTGGGGGTGGGGGAGCAGCTCCAGGCTCGCTTGGTGGAGGTGGTGCTGCTGGGCCACCAGGTGGTGGCGGGGGTGCAGCTCCAGGCTCGCTTGGTGGAGGTGGTGGTGGTGCTGCAGCTCCAGGCTCGCTTGGTGGAGGTGGTGGTGGTGCTGCAGCTCCAGGCTCGCTTGGTGGAGGTGGTGGTGGTGCTGCTGGGCCACCAGGTGGAGGCGGGGGTGCAGCTCCAGGCTCACTTGGTGGAGGTGGTACTGCTGGGCCACTAGGTGGTGGTGGTGCTGTTGCTGGCTCATTTGGTGGCGGTGCTGCTGCTGGTGCACTTGGAGGTGGTGCTTCAGTTGATGGGGCTTGAGAGGGTGTCACTGTTCCAGATGGTTCTGTCTCTCTAAGCCTGATTGACTCTAGAGTGCGGGCTGATTCATCAGAAAATGATGACACCTCATCTACTGAGTGTACAACAGGATCAAATGTTAGCATCCTTGAGGGTTTAGTCACCGAGGGGCTCCGTCCTACTGGTCTTGGTCCGGACTCGTTCCATATCAAGCTCTCAGTTCTAGAGACTGCAGATTCGGTTCGATAGGGTTGGAAAAAGGATGGCCCAAATAGTGCTTGATTTTCAGAAGAAGTAAATGAGAGCTCTGTGTAACTGGAATGCAAAGAGGGGGTGTTGATTTTGTGTTTGCTGTTTCTAAGGATCTCAGGGCTGCGTCACTCGAAATACCTTCCCACATGGAAGACACCCCCATGCACAGCATGTCCTATGTAGGTTTCTCCACAATGCAGAGCATTTGCCTGCAACCTGCATGGTCATCTGACACACAGTTGCTTTACCAAGCCACTTCCATGTGGAGATGGCAGCATGCAGGCATATTAGGGGAGATGCGAGAAATGTATGTTAAAAAGGGACAGGCAGCTTTTTGCCCCTAGTGGCAGGGCCCTGCCCCTCTTTAATATCAGAGCAAGAACATATAGGACCTATAAGTATAAAGTTGCAAGATGGAGTGTTCCCATTCCAAGATTTGAGTCAGTTAATCGTGTATTCCGCCTTCCGGGATACTCCATTCCATTGCTCTACCTCCCCTGCCCCTATAGCAGTTAGCCAGTGTTCTGCGCCCACTGAGCATGTTCTGTCTTGACTGAGTTGTTTTGCCTCTTCTACTACAAATTAGGTTTTTTTGTGGGGGTTTTTTAAAAACACTTCTTTAAACCTTTGGATTCCCCCAAGCCTACTGATGCCTTTCTCTTGTGTGTGGATGATGCCATTTTGGCTACACAAGGAACCACATTTAGATAATGTGTTGACTATTAATACAGAATATATAGATGGATCGTTAGAATTCATCATTTGTGTGATGGGAAGACTTACCTAATTCTTTTGCTACATTGGTATATAGTCATACCACAAAGCATTGTAAGCAATATTAAAACACACAGAGTTGCTGAGGATACAGCCAACAGTATCTGTTCCCGGGGTCGGGGTCTTTCTTCTTCTTTGGAGACAAGTTGTATGCGCTTCTCAATCTCTGCATTGTCTGAAACTTAAGGCAGGGCAGTTGTTTAAAATTAATCAAATGGAAACAGCTGTTTACCTTTAAATCCACTAAATTGCTTACCAAATTCTGTATGAAAAGAAGTCAATGTGTGATCAGCAAGAATTAAAACCATACATTTTATCTTTATCAAGCATTTTTTTTTTTTTTGCTAAATGATGGAAAAAGAAAAAGATGTGGGACCAAGCATTTTGTTGTTGTTAAATTAACTGAATTACAAGTATCAACAGATTCATCGGCATAGCAATGAATGAACAAATGAATGGAAACCAATTATTCACTATATAAGTAAGTTATCATCATCAAGCTCTGAATATATTTTTTAAATATATGTTGAAAACTGCTTATTGTACATCGTTGTATAGGTCACTGTTTTATCTGCAGTTGTTGTCATTGTTGCCTTTGTTGTTATACTGTAGATTTTCTGAAGCCAGCCCAGACTGGGGGAAAAAAAAATCCTGAAAGATTTATCTTATAGTGGTTCTCCAGGCAATGGGTATTCCACTATGGGGGAGCAATCCAAAAACACTTTTGTGCATGCATTTGCCATTTGGACTTGGTGCACAGATGTCATAAAGAGAAGTGTATTCTTGGTTTATCTGAGAGATCTTGACAGCACGTGTTGAAAATATATGGGCAGGGCTGCAGGAATCCTAGATACCTGATCCTCTGGATAGAAAATTCCCAGGGATTTGAAAAAGTAACCCAGTTTACATGTCACAGTCTACCAGGGGTCACTAACATTTTTTGACTAGCGGGCAGATTTTGAACTTTGAGAGAGTGTTAGAGTACCTACCAGTCACAAAATGACTGCCATGGAGGGGGCATGGCATAACAAAATTAGAGAGACAATCACTCCCAACAACTTTATGCACCTACAATGGGAAGTCAGCTATGTCTTAATGGTTCCTAATTATGGAGATTATACACACTCACTGATGCTGTTGTTGTCTAGTAACAACAGAGAGCGTTCCTCAATACAGTGGAACCTCGGTCGTCGAATGCTTCGGAAGCTGAATGCTTCGGTTTTTGAATGCCAACAACCTGGAAGTGAATACTTCCATTTTCGAACACGCATCGGAAGTCGAACAGCTTCTGAGGTGCGTTTCTCCATTTTTTCAATGGATTTTGCCGACCGGCAATTGCGCCTCAGTTGTCAAACATTTCAGAAGTCGAACGGTCTTCCAGAACAGATTACGTTACCCTAACCACACCACTCTCATTTCACAGAAATCATTTAGAACGTACCTGCACAATTTGCCCCTTATCTTTCTTTCTAGGAGAACTTGAGGCCTTTTTTTTTTTTTTTTTTGGTTATTGAAAACTCAGTCTGGGGCACCTGCTCAGTGACACATCACTGCGGGTCACAGGCTGGTGACCCCTGCAAGTAATCCATAGTTGATGTTTAACTGTGAATGTGCTGATCTGGTTTAGCATCATGTTTGATGTAGGGATGGGTTCTTTTGCTTTAAGAAATCATTATCACTAAAAGAAGCAGCAGCAGTGGCTACAGATCATAGTTTGTTTGAGGCAAAACATACCACAATTTCTAGGCCAGAAATAAAGCTAAGTCAAGGCTGGATCCTTGAAAATTTAACTATTTTTCAGCTCTAAATATAGGCAATACAAAATGTTCATCTCTTGTGCAAATGTTATGTAAGGTAAGATCATATGGCAATTTCAGGTTTCACCCCTGCTAAATTGTGTCCTTACTTGGTACCGGTTGGAAAAAGAGATCTTTTACTGGACTTCTGTCAAAATCTTCATTAAACATTCGTCCTATAATAAAAGTTAAGAATGCAGTTCAATGAAAAACAAATATTTAATTTGTGCAATACTTCTTATGTACATAGTTCAAGCATAGCTAATGGACTGTCCATTATGTCCAAGCCAGGGATCATGGTTTCTTTCTTCAAACAAATTGGTCAATAATTCACAGCTAACCTTTAAATATGGTTTATAATGACATGCAAATGCGGTCAGTGTCAACTCTTTTTACTGATTCCTGAAAATCCACAGGAATCTTCCCAAAGGGGGCATGGGGGCAAAGTATATACAGGCAACCCTTCATTTATGTGGGGGTTAAGTTCCAAGGCACCACATGCTTAAGTAAAATCACATATAATTGAAACACCATTGAAAAAGCCTGCAAACACCCCATTCCACTTCCACCCCATTCTCCCCCCTTTTGTGACTTTTTTGACCACTTCCGGGCTTTGATGTGATAAGTGTTAGAAACTGAGATATGAAAGCTAGGAGCTAATTGACACCATAAACTTAGGTTATGGGCGCAACAATGGAATGTCTAGGCGTGCTTTTTTATAGCAAGAATACAAAGCTGAAAATGAATGAACTGCAGCTAAAATATTATGTTCATTTTTCACATGGTCTAGTCCTTCCCCTGCCCACCCCCTAATGTTCTTAAGAGGCTCTCTTCTCCAATCTTCAGAGAATAGCTGGAAGTTGGGAGGCAGAAAAAGGTCCTCCTTTCCTTCCACTCTGCAGTTTTAATCTGAAATCTTAGGCACAGGACTGTGCCCAAAGCTCAGAAACTGCTCGCACTTAGGAAATTCCCTGTTGCAAAATGCGCCTAGAACAATGGGAGTTTCAAACACTGGATGTGATGTGTGGTCGCACACATATCGAATGCACATAAATGGGGGGTTGCCCGTACCCCAAATAAATAATACATAGCAAGCATCAGAGATTAGGCCTAGGTGTTCTGGTAGCTTTGGTAACTGAACAATAGTGAGACCTAAGTAGATATGGCCTCTGAAGAATTATTTGTACGGTTGGATCACATGGAAGTTTCTCCACAGCTAACTGTGCCCTTACCTGGTACCGGATGAAAAAGGACATCTTCTGGTTGATTTTTATAAACATCTTCATTCTTTGGTGGTACTATAATAAAAGTTAAGAAATATGTGATTCGGTTAAAAAAATAAATCAGATTCCTTGTTCACTAATTTCTTATGAACATAGGTCATGGGTAGTTAATGAACTGGCTTTGTACTATGTCCAAATTTGGGACCGTGGTTTGTTTTGCTCAAACAAATCACAATCAGTAATCCAAACTTGTTTGTCTGAGATTGTGGTTTGTCTGAAACAAAACAAAACAAATCCCCAATTGATTCATAAAGGTAAGTGGTCTCTATCTCTAGATTGCAGTTGTAGAGGGTAGGTGGGAAGAAAGGGCAGTAACTGAATGGGCCCCTCCTCCATGCTTTTCCCTCCTAAGAGAAAAAAAAGACCGCTATGGGAAGAGTTAAAACTCTCCCCTCAGGGCAGGAATTAATATGCCACACTCTCACTGCAGGTGGAGATTCCAGTCAGGAAGGGGTTAAGCCCACCCACTCCATATATGGTAGGTAAATTTGGGATGTGCAGCCCACAGCAGCCCTAGAGACAGGTAAGTGAGGCACTGGGCCTTGGAAAGGAGCTGTGAGAGCCCTGACAGGGTCCTAAAGTCCTCCTGCCTCCTTTCTAAAGGCCAGGTAGCACTTTCTCAACTTTGGGAAGGAGGTAGAAGGGCTATAGGACCCTACCAGAGCCTCACACCTCCCTCCCCAAACCCAGTGCCTCACTTACCTAGCTTTGGGAAGGCTGCGTGTGGTCAAATTTTGGCTTTGCTCCATCCCCCTCCTGCTGCATGACAAGACAGTGTGCAGTCTATGGGTTCTGTGTCCACTTGGTATAAAAAAGAGAAGCAAAGCAGCCCAGAACTATGTGTTCACAGTAAACCACAGTTTTCATTATCCATGGTTTACTGTGACATGCAAATGAGTCACTATCAACTCTTCAGAATTTAAATTGGTTCCTGAAAATCTAGTGATGGCTCCCTGAAAATGTAAATATAGGCCATGAAAATGCACTTTTTGTGCAAACCAGTAACTATGGTTTATCATGACATGCAAATATGATATGTAAGGTTGGACCACATGAGATTTCCAGGTTTCATCACCGCTAACTGTTCTTACGTGGTATTGGATGGAAAAGGTGATCAATGGATAGACTTTTGTCAACATCTTCATTATCTTGTAATCCAACATCTTCATGATTCTGTGGCCCTATAGTAAAGTTAAGAACTGTGCAATTCAATTAAAATTAAGCAATCACTTAAAAATAAGCAATCCTTTTTTTCCTAGTTAATGAACTGGCTTAGTATTATGTCTTAACTGGGGATTATGATTTCTTTTACTGATGAATGATCAGTAGTCTAAGAATAAATATCAGCTACAGATTGTAGTTTGTTTGAGGCAAAACAGACCACAGTTCCCAGCTCAGACATAAAGCTAAGCCACAGATGTTGTTTTGTTTCTCTCGCATACTAGCAGAGAAGAATAAAGTGGCCCAGACCCAACAAATACATTGCCAACATTTTTCAGCAGTAGTACCCATTCCTGAAAACCCAGTGATGGCTCCATGAAAAATTGCATGGTTTTTTCCAGTCCTAGATATGGGCAATACAAAATGCACATACATAATGTGGGTTCACACACAAATTTCAGTTTTAAGCACTGCTGAACTATGTCCTTACCTGCTACTCAATAGAAAAAGACACCTCTGGATGGATGTTTGTCAACTTCTTCATTATCCCATACTTCTGTAACAAAGTTGCAGAAGTATGCAATATATTTTAATGCACCCACCGCTTTCTTTGTCCATTGTTTTGTTATGTACATACAGTAAGCCCACAACTTTCTTGGGGTTCCAGGAAAAATGCCTTTGGCAATCCTACCTGCCACTGAACCCAGTGCATTTTGACTACATGCAATTTTGGCTTTAGGCATGATCCCCAGAACATAACCCCCACGTAATTTGCAGGCTTACTGTAGTTCTTTGTTTTCTAACTGCAGAGATAGCCCTCTTCCCAGTGTGAAGAAGAACAACGACTTTGGCAGTACTCTCCTTATTGTATAGTTTGGCTGTGCAAATTCCAACATCAGCCATGAAAGACATAGATCAAGGAGAATGAACAGCTGGAGCCTTGTTGTAATTAAAACGGTGCCGTTATTATTCATTGGTACACAAGTGTAGAGTTTTGCTGCTCATGGCTGCGCAGCATGCAGAAGCAAACACTTGAAGTAAGAAAGAGGGGTTCTTTTGATTGGGAGCTACACTGAAGACCAGATGGAGCATCTGTTACCACTGCCTACTCCATATGAAAATGGAGGTCCGCCATTTCCAGAAACTAGCTGTTTCCTTAGTTCTGCTGGATCTTCTCGTGGCCTTTGATTACCATTACCATGACATCCTTCTGAACTGTCTAGAGGAGCTGGGGGACACTGTTATTACATTGACTTTTATCCCTTGCAACTTGTTCATGCATTGTGAATTTATACATATCTTCTATCCATTTAAGGGGACGCGGGTGCGCGGCTGTGGGTCTAAGCCTCAGCGCCTTAGACTTGCGATCGAAAGGTCGGCGGTTCGAATTCCCGTGGCGGGTGCGCTCCGCTGCTCGGTCCCAGCGCTTGCCAACTAGCAGTTCGAAAGCACCCCCGGGTGCAAGTAGATAAATAGGGACCGCTTACCAGCGGAAGGTAAACGGCTTTCCGTGTGCGGCTCTGGCTCCCCAGATGCAGCTTTGTCACGCTGGCCACGGTGACCCGGAAGTGTCTGCGGACAGCGCTGGGGCCCCCGGCCATATAGAGTGAGATGGGCGCACAACCCTAGAGTCTGTCAAGACTGGCCCGTATGGGCAGGGGTACCTTTACCTTTTTTTCTATCCATTTGTTGAAGAGAGCCATATTTCTTTCCTTCCAGTTCATCAATACTAGTCTTTTTTCCATACTGCCCCTTAGTTAGATTCCAAGTACTGGGAATATAATTCAAAAGGATATTTTCCTCTGCAAATTTAATGTTTTTCCGTACAGTTGCATTAATCATTTCTGCTACCCTCTCCCAAAAATATACCAATGTGGGACATTGTATGAACATAAGTTTTAAAGAAGCATTATCATCTCCAGCAGCTAGATGTCTTAGATAGCCCTTTCCTAACTCCAGTAAATTCAAAATATAATTTTTTTGTATGAGTCTTAGTCTAAGGTCCAGAAACACCCTTGTTATACAACTTAGCACAGTTTCCCTTTGCTTGGTTGAGATTGACATCCCTAATACGTTATTCCATTCGTCCCTTAATATCTGCATATCAAACTGGTTTGCTGTATAAACATTTTCATAAGGTGACAGGGGGGTATTTTTTGTTACATAAGTGTTGATCAGATGTTTTAATAACTCTGGGCCTCTGAGGCTGTAAAAGTTGCTGGTCTTCTGCCTTATAATTCTTTTTATTTTTAATAAAGAATAATAAAAAAGTTTACCTTCCATTATAGAAATCTTATGTACAGCAGGGTGTATGATGATGTGCTTCGTACTTCCTTCCTCCTCCTTCTCGTTCGCTTTCTTCTCATGATTTATCCGAATAATAACTTTATGTTTCTCTAGATAAATGAGGTACATTTTTTAAAAAATCACTTTATTCAATTATGGTTGAAAGAGCAGAAGCCTGCTATGAATTCTTCATCCAAACCCAACATCAGGCCTTTAAACAATACTCTGAGACAGTAGTCTTCAGTTTTTCCAGACCTTGGATCTACCTTTAACCCAAACATGAATTTGAGCACCCATTTCTTAATGTTATACCATATACTTGTAGGTTAGTGCTAGTGTTGCAACCCACGCCTTAGATCAGGCCATGCTCTGGCAGTGGGTCCCAACCCAGCAATTGAAGACCAATACTCTTATGAGTGGGGTTGGGAACTTTTGGGCCTCCAGGAGTTGCCAAGCGACAACTCCCATCAGCTCCAACTCACATGGCGGTAGTGGGAGTTGTAGTACAGCAATATCTGGGGAGCCAAAGATTTCCCCAGCCCGACTCTAAGATAATTATAGAACAGGTTTATATGTTTCAAATGGATTACTCTTAGGTCATGATATTAATATCCATCAGAGGTCTGCTTGAGGCCACAGAAACCAGTGGACTGAAGGATGACTAACTTCTGTGCTAGATTCAGCCCATTATGGGTACATGGAACCTCCAGATTTAGATATACCAATGAATCTCAGTGGCTGAGGAATGACAGCAGGGAAGGGCAACTGCCTTCATGGTCTCACATGTGGGCTTTCTAAAGGAATCAGGGTGGTCACTGTGAGAAGTGGATTTGCTGGCCTACATCCTGGTCCTGAACCGGTGGGTTGCAGTCTGATCTAAGGTGAGTTGCAATAGGAGCACTACCACCATGCAAATATATGCTTAAAAGATTTAAGAAGTGGGTCCCCAAATGCAAGTTTGGGTTAAACGTGGGTCCTGGGTCTGTAAAGGTTGAAGACATACCTGGCCTATATGGAGCTATGGTCAGATCCACCAGGGTTCTTCTCATATTCTTAACATGACTACAGATGGAGACAAAAGGCAAATAATAGCTGTGGACAGGAAGACAACGTATCCAGCCACCAACACACCCCAAATCGCTGAATTTTGTTGCCAGTAGAGTGGTGTCAGAAATTAAAGGGGCAGGAGCTTAAAATATTCAACAAAGTACACCAAACATAACAGAGAACAGAAGAGTCAGGCTGAAGAGAGGTTCTGAGTAACACCCTACAGTGATTATTGTCTGAGCTAGTCACTTTCATTCCCCCCCCCCCCCCGGCTGGCCGTTGTTTGTGGTTTTGCAGCACAATAAAGGTAAAGGATAAGGGGCGCCTGACCATTAGGTCCAGTCGTGACCGACTCTGGGGTTGCGGCGCTCATCTCGCTTTATTGGCTGAGGGAGCCGGTGTACAGCTTCCAGGTCATGTGGCCAGCATAACTAAGCCGCTTCTGGCGAAACCAGAGCAGCACACGGAAACACCATTTACCTTCCCGCCGGAGTGGTACCTATTGATCTACTTGCACTTTGACGTGCTTTTGAACTGCTAGGTTGGCAGGAGCAGGGACCGAGCAACGGGAGCTCACCCCATCGCGGGGATTCGAACCGCCTACCTTTTGATCGGCAAGCCCTAGGCTCTGTGGTTTAACTCACAGCGCCACCCAGGTCCCTATTTGCAGCACAATAGTAGTGTACAATAAACATGTTCTTATATGTGGCATATAGCTTTCAAAGAGGTCATACCTTTAGTAGCTCCTGCAAATATTGATGATGATAAAAAGATAAACAGTAGCAGATTCATAAGGGAAACTGTCCAACGTCTCAAATCATTCTTCTGGGCGAGTCTCACTCTTTCCCTGCTGGAATCATTCATGTTGCATGCTGTAGTATCTCATTATGACATCACCGTGCCCTTTGACCTCACAATGAACCAGCTGGAGAAGAATGGAAGACTGGGCATTTTGCAGAGTTAACGCAAACACATCTAACTTGGATCAATTTCCAAACTACCCAGAATTCTGGGGAGAGGGGGATGTGCTGTAAATGTGCAGCGCGAGCACAGCTTAAGTGTACAAAAAAATCCCTGAAGGACAGAATAAAGTAAGGTTTATGAAGGGTGTGGTTTGAGGTGAGAGTGTGTGGCTGAGGCCAAGAAGTCTTCTGGGGGCCAGACAGGCCTGGGGTGGCCTGAGGTTCAACTCTGACCTTAGGCAGTGTTGTCAAAAGTATAATGGCTCAAGCTTCCTTGGAAATAATTGCTTCTGTTCATCCAGGCATTTGGCTCTGAATTGGGTGATAATCCATGTATGTATTGCTATTCATCTTTTACTAGGGTAGGGTAGAATTGGTCCGTATGTTACTGAAGGTTGAGCGCTTTCAGTCAATTGTTATTTTAGCTTTTCGGTACGCTTGATTTTTTGTTACCATTTATGCTTTAATAATTGTATTGCTCTGAGACATTTTTGTACCAAGTGATGAATAAATGCAAATAACAACAATAACAACAACAGTAATATTTTATTGCTTCCAGTGTTTGTCTGCTGCTTGTGATAAGATAAAGGATTCTGCATATGCTCACAGCTACTCTTCTTTTTAATACTGTTACCCATTTCCGGAGCTGATCCCAAGCATTTAAATGTCTTCTAGAGCTGTGCTTTGGGAAATCCTAGTCAAAATAAAGCCTTTCAGAGAAGTGGAGCAGGGAGGGGAGGAACAGGATGAGGAAACAGGTGTATACAAAGAGGCATAGGGGCAAGGAAAGGAGAAAAGGGAAAAATGAAGGGGGAAGGGAAACAAAATGATTTAGGGTGTGGGGTAGAAATAGTGAGTGGGAAACAGGAAAAAGAGGCCAAGAAGGAAAAGCAAGGTCTGGGTCAAAAAAGTATATTTAAATCATCATTTTTTTGGAAAGGTCAGAAAAGAGAGAGAATTGTGTGGAAAGAAGGCACGACAGGATTAGAAAAGAATGGAAGTGCTCAGATAACTTAATGGGAGAAAAGGGGAGAATGAATGACTGTGAGGTACTGAGATAGTTTTTAAAATGCAAAGGAGGAGAGGAAGAAAGGAAAAAGAGAACATTTGGCACACTGAAGCATTTGGTTAAGAAGGCATTGACTGACATTTGTTTAGCAAACCCCGCTTTAAACACCACCACCACCCAAACTACCATCATGGGGTAGAGTGCAGGGGCAAATACAAGAGAGCTATCTCCCTATCTGTAAAATAAAATGTTACAGGGATTGGGGGAGGTTGAAAGTGAAGGCAGGAAAACAACACTCTTAAAGCAAAAACAAAAGTAATTTGTACGCCCTGCTATAAATGCCCAGCTCACCATTTGTCTGCACAAGGCAGACCTATTGCTGAGGGTTGCTTCAGATCCAGTCCTTGCCTGGCAGCAGCTGCTGAAGGATGCCAGCTTGGCTGGGAAGAAAAGAACAAGGGACTGGGGGGGGGGAGAAGGAGAAGCCAAGCAGCCACCCCCCTGTACCACGTTAGTTAGCCCAGCAATGCCTCAGCCCAAGGATGGAAACAGAATATTATTGTAAGCCAACCTGTGCAGTGTCATGGTTAGTGTCAGACAAGGACTGGGGAGACCAGGGTTCAAGTCCCCATCAAATCACTGGGCATAGTTGTCAACCTTCCCTTTTTGTGTGTGGGAAATTCCCTTATTCCAGCGCCGTTTCCCGCTGCTATCCCAGATTGTTAGATATCCCATAGACTGTCCCCGGACAGGTGAGGCTGCTGATCCCTTATTTTCAAATCTGAAAGTTGACAGCTATGTAACTGGGTGACCTTGGGCTAGGGTAGTTGTGAGAATAATATAGGGAGCAGGAGAGGCAGGCAATGTAACCAAAGGAGCTGGCTGAGCTGCCCTGGAATGATGCATAAGGAAGCTGGAACGATTTGTCCCTCTTGCTTTCTTTGGTCTGGAGCTAAATTACCTATTACACGTTCTGTGCCTTTAGCTATATCCTGGAATGCAGCAAATAAAAAAGTATTTCCCCTTCGCCATACAGACTATAGTTCAGCCACTAATATCTTGCTCCTTTGAGAGCCGGTGTGGTGTAGTGGTTCAGAGCGGTGGACTCGTAATCTGGTGCACCGGGTTTGATTCCCCACTCCTCCACATGCAGCTGCTGGGTAACCTTGGGCCAGTCACACTTCTTTGAAGTCTCTCAGCCTCACTCACCTCACAGAGTGTTTGTTGTGGGGGAGGAAGGGAAAGGAGAATGTTAGCCGCTTTGAGACTCCTTCAGGTAGTGATAAAGCGGGATATCAAATCCAAACTCCTCATCTTCTTCTTCTTCCTTGGGCAGAGGCATCATGCAGTTACTCACATCCTACAGAAAGGGCTTCTTATGCGGCGGTGCAACCTTTCTGGATCACATCCATCTCCTGGAACCTTCTTGTTTAGGGATGCAGGCTGAGCTCTGGGGATGCCTCCGTGCGCGACACCAAGATGCAGACCTCATAGATGCGGAAGGTGGCAAAGGCGCCAGCCACAATGCAGCAAATGCCCACGATGTACCACCAGTTGAAGGCACCAAAGGAAACCCCATTTAAAATGCAGTAGATACCGAAAGCGACGGCAGCAATGACAGAGATTATCTGTAGGCAAACAGGTGGGTCACTTCCTCTCTCTTGCATAGCCAGGTCAGCAAGTTAAGTCTTTTCCAAGCTGAAATGATCGATGATTCTGAAAGGGGGGGGGCGTGGCGTGGCGTTATTTTTTCCCCACAAAACAGGCACCTGGGTTCTGCATTGTTTTTTTAAAAAAAGTTGCTGAGAGAAGTGAAGTCTGTCTACTGTGGTGTGCTCATGGTGTGTGCAATATATATGAGTACTTGGCTAGAAGGATTAAGGTTCTGTAGGCATCTTATCCTAATTTCCAATTATGTTAAGTGGTCCACAATCCACCTGATTCCATTAAGCATCTCAGAATGCACAATACCTTAATTTATTTGGTGGGCATAAGATGCACATAAAAACTTGGGTAGCAGAGGGTGGAGAAAAATCAGCAAAACTGTTTTGTTGCTCCCATCTTCGACATTGGAGGCTTCTCCTTGGGCAAAACATCTGAGGAACTTCAGTGGTAGTTTAACTATGATATTAGCGTCATTTAAGTTAGGGAAGCCCAGACTTCCATAACAGAAGTGCAAGCCATGATTAGCTTACTACGCTGATGCTGGTAAGATGCTCCTAGAGGCTCCCATTTTTATTTTTTTAAGTGTTGGTGCTGACCTTTAAAGCCCTAAACGGCCTCAGTCCAGTATATCTGAAGGAGCGTCTCCACCCCCATCGTTCTACCCGGACACTGAGGTCCAGCGCCAAGGGCCTTCTGGTGGTTCCCTCACTGCGAGAAGCCAAGTTACAGGGAACCAGGCAGAGGGCCTTCTCGGTAGTGGCGCCCTCCCTGTGGAACACCCTCCCACCAGATGTCAAAGAGAACTACTACCAGACTTTTAGAAGACATCTGAAGGCAGCCCTGTTTAGGGAAGCTTTTAATGTTTAATGTATTACAGTATTTTAATATTTTTTTGGAAGCCGCCCAGAGTGGCTGGGGAAGCCCAGCCAGATGGGCGGGGTGTAAACATTACTATTATTATTATTATTATTATTATTATTATTATTAATTATTATCATATCCCAAGCCTTCAGGTGCTGGGTATGGTTCTCTCCTCCCCATTTCATCCTCACAACACCTCTGCGAGGCAAGCTGGGCTCAGACAGTGACTGGCTCAGTGAGGCTTCCTGGCTGAGTTTCTTGAGGATTTGAACCTCTTCCAACACTATTCACACTGGCTCTCCAACCAATCTATGCAATAATATGCCTGTTCAGGTCAGATGTCCTTCTAGGACAGGGAGAGAACATGCAGCAGTATCTTACAATGGAGGTAACTTGTGGGTTGACCCTGATTTTAGGTTCTGAATGTGCATTCTAGGATATGCTCTGTTCACACGGGGGCCAGAGAGACTGGTTGATGCTAGGTCAGTTGTTAACTCATCACACATGGAGTTATATATCCATAACTTCCTTGCTGCACAGTTCTGCTAAGGAACGTGAGTAATGGCAGATTAACTGCTTTCAAACTCCTTGTGCTCCATTGCTGATACTTTCTTCTGATAAACTCTTCAGTTTCTTGGAACAGTTTGAAAAGTACTGCAACAGATGAGGAGGCTCAACGTTTTGTTCAGAGCATGAATGAATCTAGCTAGCTGGGTTAGATCCAGACTTAAGTCGTATGCAGAGTAAGCCCACTGGAACAATGAGACTTAAGTTACTCATAACTTAAGCCACATTGGTTTTAATTAGTCTACTTTAAATACAACAACGTCTTGGATCTAAACTGCTCTTTTTACTGCTGGGCTGTTCAAGACATAAATCAGGGCCAGCAGATTCCAAGAAAAATGTCTGACCCCAAACCTTTTTCAACATTTTTAATTAAAGTAAGAAGGTAAAGGTACCGCTGACCATTAGGTCCAGTCGTGGAGGACTCTGGGGTTGCGCGCTCATCTCACTCTATAATGCAGAACACCTGTGGGTTTGTGCTGCTTTTTGTGTGGTATTTCAGTTGCTTAAAAGCATGAATTATAATTGATGCAACTTTATATCATTTTGTAAAACTCATTTTATTTCATTGACAGCATTGGTCTCATCATACAGTTGAACTCTTAATTTAATCACACACATAACTAAAATATTCTGCAAATGCATTGACTTTGACACTGCTAAAGCCCACAGTGGTAGAATTTGATCGGTTGATGGGGCGAAAAAATCTAACCAATTACTTGCTGAAAAACGTTAACCCTAAAAACACTACAAAACAAACCATAGTCTTTGTCTAAATTAGTGGAGGGGAAACTTCCACATACCATCACAGACCAGTTAAGATAACATTAACTGTGCTCCTTGGGAAACTGTTCTGACATAAAACTAGACCCACTTCAAAGCAGAGACACCTGAACAGTCAAAAAGCAGCAGCATTATTTGTCAGTTTCTAATATCTGGTTTTTGCTGGGTTCTCAAAACAGAGTTGGGAATGCATGACAGATGGAGTTTCTATGCCTGTGTTTAATAAACTGTTGAAATCTCAGGCCAGCTATGTTTTATTCAAAACTTCAGAAGGAGAAAATCAGTTCATAGTGGCCACCAGATGTTTTGCCCTACAACTCCCATGATTCCTGATCACTGGCCATGTTGCTAGGAGCGGTAGACCTAAACATCTGGAGGGGACCAGTTTAGGGAAAGGCAGCTGCAAAGCATATGTACTCACCTTTCACTGTCCGTAAAATAGAACGCTCCCAAAAATATTTTATCATCATCAGGGTGAGCTGTTTAAGACCCAGACTTAGCAGCATTGTTACCTTCTGTAGATTACCGTATTTTTTGCTCTATAAGACTCACTTTTTCCCTCCTAAAAAGTAAGGGGAAATGTGTGTGCGTCTTATGGAGCGAATGCAGGCTGCGCAGCTATCCCAGAAGCCAAAACAGCAAGAGGGATTGCTGCCTTCACTGCGCAGCAATCCCTCTTGATGTTCTGGCTTCCGAGATTCAGAATATTTTTTTTCTTGTTTTCCTCCTCCAAAAACTAGGTGCATCTTGTGGTCTGGTGCGTCTTATAGAGCGAAAAATACGGCAATCTGTGAACAGGGACCCCAGGGCCTCTCTGATAAACTCCCATCAGCTTTATCCTGTATCCTGGGACATTAACCATTGTGAAATTCAACAGAGATCTCTGGCCAGTTTGCAGGCTTTGAACCCTCGTTTCTATGGACTACTTTTGAAAAGCTGAGCTTCCAGTGCATCTTCTACCACTATGAACCATGGAGAGCAACAGTCGATCCCACCCACCCAGAGTAGTGGCTTAGAATTTGGCCGCTTCATGCCTTACAAAGCAACTCTGTGCAATGAGACAATAGCGCTTCACCAAATTGTATTAAAGCTGTCCTGTTGCCTCAACGCTCTTCCAAAATCTTACCCAGAGTGGTTCCAATCAACCCAATCAAGGTCCCTGTTATTCAATCCCCCTGGGATTACATGTTAAAATAAATTCTAAATGCCAGGTTATTGAAAGAGACAAACACAAAGAATTTCGTCCTCAAAGCATAAATGTGCCATCCGCTGGCATGGTGCCATGGGCGCTAGGTTCAGGAAGTGGAGTATCCAAAACATTGCTTAACATGTAGAAGTTGTCAGATTGCTCTGATCCTGAAAATTCTTGAAATAGCAGAAAGTTAAACCAGTAAAGTGTTGTTGTTTTTTAAATGGAAACAGTAATCTTTACCACTTAAATCCTGAGCGGTAGAAGTGGGGTAGCTCATTCACTGTGTTGTGTTTAAATGTACAATGTTCTTGTCAGGATTGAGGTTAGGGGAAACTGTTTCTTACCAGTTTGCGGTAGAAACCACCTCTACCTAACAGTGATGAGATTTGCCCTTGTGACATCACAAATCCATTCCCGTAGCACTTCTGCATATTAGAAACCTTCATCTTTAAATAGAAAAAAAATACATTGATATTGTGATTCAAAACTTCACATGTTTGTGTTAACTGTAAAAGTTGGTATTCAGACCATGTGGGAACAAAAACATGTGCATATTAAAAATAACTTCTTGCAGATTCCCAACATCTTTCGATGCAAGGTTAATACATGCTGCCTTGTCCCATCAATATTTTTAAATCTTCGCCTCCTGTGGGATTAGTTTCCAAATTATTGATTTTCAAAAAGTCAAAGAATTACCAGTTAGTCAAAGGACA